GAGGAACAGAGAGAGAGAGAGAGAAACATCGATGTGAAAGGAACACATCAAGTGGCTGCCACCCGCACAACCAACCAGGGCCGGGGACAAACTGCAACCGAGGTACGTGCCCTTAGCGGGAACCGAACCCGGGTCTCTCAGGACCGCAGGCCGACGCTCTAACCGCTGAGCCAAACCGGCCAGGGCATGAAAGCTGTTCTTATATTCCAACTGCTCTGAGGAAATAAGCCCTATGGCTATAACAGATCATATGGAACCTTTCTCAGTAGTTTATTCAGACATATTCAGCATGCACTTTGTGCCTTGCTCTGTGCTAGGCCCTAAAGATACAAAAATATGCTCTTAAGGCAGGCAAAAAAATGTGAAAACTAATAACAGATACATATCTACATATAGATACATAGATATATAGATATAGAGAGAGAGATGATATAGAAGAAACACAGAAAGGAAGTTTAGGATTTTTGACAGAAGTCACACATGAGAAAGGCTTTGAAAGAATAGGTAGGAATCTCCTAGGCAGATGAGCATAGAAGAGGGGCCCTAACAGAGAGAACCTTGGAGGTAGATGGGGAGGCAGCTGGCTGTGGGTAATTCAGGATGGCAAAAGTGGAAGAGAGGTAAGAAATAAGACTAGAAAGTGAGGCCAGGCCAGGACTTTATGCTGTGAAGATAATAGGGAATAACTTAAAAAGTTTAAATAGGTAAGCAATATCCAATTTTTTTTTTTTTTTTTTTTTTTTTTGAAAGGTAGCTCTAGTGGCCATGTGGAAGGTTGTTGAGGGAAATCACATGAGAGGCAGGGAGACCACTTGGTAATATTTTGTAGTGCTACAGGCAAGTGCTAATAGTAGCAATTGAGATGGAGGAAAGGATAATTTGAAAGTTATTTGGGAAGAAAATCAATAGAGGTTGGTATTTATTTGGATGTAGGGAGTACAGATAGAGGAGAATTCCAGAGTGAACTGGTTTCTCATCCAGATCTTGGGACAGCTTTATTCACCAAGAGAGGGGGTGCTGGAAGAATAGGGAGTTTGGTGGGAAGAAGAGTTCATGTTTGATTATGTTGAGTTTAAGGCACCTATGGGATGAGACATATATGGGGAGAAATCAACTAGGCCATTGTATATATGAGTTTAAATCCCAGACACAAGTTTGAGTTACAAATGTAGATTTGGAAATTAGCAGTATATCAAGCAAGCCATGATCTAGCTGAAAGGAGTCAATGAGAAAAGAGGACAGAGCAGACCCCCTCCAAACACCAGCATTTCAAGGAGCCTTTGGGAGAAAGGATCAAGTAAAGAAAAATGGATACTACCACTACATTCAGTGACTGGTTTATTCCATAGGCATGCGTCCTTTTTTGCCAAATGTCCACCTTTTTTGCCCACCTTCCTACTTTGTTGCCTTAAATTAGGTATCTGTTCCACTCCTCAGTGTTGAAAAGATGTGCATCCTCTTTTCAGGTCCCTGGCATTCTGGGCATTCTGAAAGGGTCAGTAGTATTGGACATGTAATGTTATTTTTTCAGCTGCTTTAATGGGGCTTTAATCAAAACTTTATAAGTTAGCTGTATAAGTTGAGATTATTATTACAAACATAAATGTTTTCTAATGGCAAATTTGCCTGAAAGGTATGTAGACCAGTTGCCACGAAGAACACAAAAAAATGAGCCCCTGTTCTGAAGTGATCATTTGACATTAAATACTCAAGGTACCTGTGTTTTGCTTGTAACTGTTTTCATGGTTATGTGCTACTTAAAAGCCCTAGTATTTTGTTTCCCTCTTTTACACTCCAGTCTTCTCCCTTTTTCTTTTGCCCTTAAGACTAGAGTGACCCATTACTCTTTAGCCTTTTTACATATTGTAAGATGAAGAGATTTAGGAAGTGTCATCTCGTCAGATTGGCTATCTAGGCAGACCTTCAGAGCACCCAAAATGGCTGGGCAGTTTATCATATCTTCTTCATTAGTCACTTTGAAACTTTATCTCAAGTTGATCTATGAAGCTAAACATAAATTATTTTTATACTATCCATGTTCTTATCTACTCACAAAGCTCTGAGGAACCTTATAGAAATGTGTGTGTGTAGATACAATTAGAATAGTAATCACAATTAAAATATCTTCTTTGGCCCTGGCCAGTTTGACTCAGAGGTTGAGCATTGGCCTGAGGACCAGAGTCCCGGGTTCAGTTCCTGCTAAGGGCATGTACCACAAAATAAATAAATAAATTAATTAAATTAAATTAAGTATCTTCTTTGCTTCTAATGCCAAACCAGAAAGTGGCTAGTTGTTCTTTGTTTTTTTTAGTGCAACTTCACATGGTGAAAACTACAGATTAGCCAAATAGCGCTTGCGCTCGCTCTCACACGCTCTCTCTCGCTCTCTCTCTCTTTCTCTTTCTCTCACTCTCACTCTCACTCCCACTCTCTCCCTCTCCAAGCCTTAGGTTGGCCTGTCTTGAATCAGAACATACTGCTGGTCTTAACTTGTTAGTCAGGGTTGACCCTGGCAGTATTGAACTGAAACTGCCCTCTACCAAACCCATGGTCAGAGACTCTCTGCTGGGGCAAGTGATTCTCAAGACTCAAAGGAAATGTACATTTTTCTGTCTTGCTCTCTATGTTTTCAGGTTAATAATTGTTTTTGTCATTATCGATGTTACATTTGCACAGCTTTGAGATTTACAGATACTCTACATACTTAATTAATCCTCGCCTCTACCCTATGAAGTAGATTTTAGTATTCTTAATATTGTCTCCTTTATTAGGGAGACTGGGCCCCCGAGAAATTAAGTGAAATGCCCAGGGTTACACAACTAGTGGCAGGGCTAAATCCCAGGTCTCCTACACTCTTGGTGAGTGTCCCTTCTATAATGTAACAGCTAGAGTTTAAAAATTACACAGTCTCATTCAGCCAAATTCAGTGGTATTTGATTGACTTTTCAAAGACTGAGGAATTGAGCAAGAAATGTGATATTGAGCAAATTATTAAAACTAGAAATGGAGTTAATGGTGCTATATCCTGGATCCAACTCCACACAACTTAATGGTGACTAGTACAGGATTTTAAAATACCTAGTGACACATAAACATGAAATATTATCAGTAGTACAGTATAGAAAGAATTTATGTTGTGATTAATGAACATATAGGATTGTGTGTTATACTGAAACTTTGAGAGCTTTCTAAAGATAATATTTTCCACAAGATATATGTTTGAACTTGAATTCAGCCTGGGGATATCTGTTTCAAAACCAGAAGTTTGTTTCAATAGGAAATGCTGATTATGCCCTCAAACTGATAAGTAGATATGGTGGAAGTCTTGAAGAAACTAATTTTCAAAGAGAGAGAGAAAAAGAGGGATTTCTGTGGCAATACTCAAGCCTCTAAATATAATCAATGTACATAAATACAGCAAGTTAAAGAGGAATGCTCCTCTCCCCCGATAATCCTTTGCCTTTGGCCTTTTTTTTTTTTTTTTTTTTTTATCTGTTTGAATAGAAATCCGAGTATGCTGCTTCTCAGAACTGGACCCTCCTAATAAGGTATACATTTTTCTTTTTAAATAAAAAGACTAGAAAATCCTTTTTAAAATCTGCATCTTTTCTGAAGTACTATAATAAACAGACAGTGTAAACGCTGCAGAGTACCTGTTGCTGGAGACTTTGATATCTGTGAAATATGGCAGTGCTCCTGCTGATGAGGAAGAGCAGAAAATGTGTTCTTTGGTTAACAGGTTATAGAGGAGCTGTCCTGACCAGGCTGCAGTGACCTATGAACCTAGTATTGTAGTCTGGGTCTTCCATTGTCAGCTTCTCCATCTCATATCATGAAAATAATCCATTTAGGGCTGATTTTATTTTTTGCTTTCTTACCTCTTTAAGACTAGAAATACAATAGTTGATTTAATATAGAGAACTTTTGCTAATGTTTTTGAGCAAAAACTCTTCCTTGATTTATAACCACTTTATTAAGTTTCTTTTGAAAGGCCTGTATATCTGAATATTGGGCCTTAAATGAGGTCTGTTAAGAGAAAACAAAACTCAAAATCCTGCCATTGAAAATATTGGGTTTGTTCTGACTAGGTGAGACCAATGATTCTCTCAAACCCTTATCTCTATCTCAGTGATCATGAGTGCCTGAATGGTAACCATCTCGTGACATCCATTGAAAAGTTAGGTAAATCCATAGTTTACCTGGCCAATTGCATGTCATTCTCCTGACCAGTGATAAAATAAGGTATCTTAGCCCACTTTATGAGCCATTTTATTGAGCTGCTGTATAAGTCTTGGCTGCAAACCTCCACAGAAAGTAGGTGAAAGTTATTTTTTTTTGTTCTGTTTTCTAGATGAGGTGCAAAGTATAGTGGAAAGAGCAAGCTTTGATGTTAGACAGACTTAAGTTTGCAGACTGGAAGTGCCGGGACGCCCTTTTTTAAAAAAAAAAAAAGTCTTAGTTACTCAGCCTACTTTGAAGGGTCAATGTGAGGACTATAGTTAATCCATGTACAGTGCTCAGCATGTAGACAGCCTTGAGAAATGATTACTACCATTATTACTGTCACTCAGCACAGGATCTGAAGATTTTACTGTAACACTCTTTATTTCTAACCAGTCACCTTCCCATTAATCCTCCTTTACACATCATAAGCCTGGTTATGAAAGTGTGTATATTTTATTTATTTATTTATTTTTATCCTCACCCGAGGACATTTTTACATTTTTTGTTCAGACAGAGTGGGAGGGAGAGTGAGGGAGAGAGAGAGAGAGAGAGAGAGAGAGAGAGAGAGAGAAACATCGACATGAAAGGGACACGAGTGGTTGCCACCCACACGACTGACCAGGGCTGGGGACAAACTGCAACCAAGGTACGCGCCCCTAGCGGGAACTGAACCCGGGTCTCTCTGGACCGCAGGCCGACGCTCTAACCGCTGAGCCAAACCAGCCAGAGCGAAAGTGTGTATATTTTAAATTGTGTTATTTGCTTTCTTCTTTCAGATCTGTAAGAGCAAAGCTAAAGAATCTCAGCAGTATTATCACAGCTTGGCTGTTCGGCAGAGTCTGGCTATCCATTTTAACATCCAGCAGGACTGTGGTCATTTCCTTGCTGAAGTCCCTAAGCGTCTGCTTCCTTGGGAGGATCCTGATGCCCCTGAAGAGGAAGAGGATGAAGTGCAAGAGAATGAACAAGAAATGAAAGAAGAAATTAATGGGAAAAGCCCAGAGCACTGCTCTGAAACAGAATCATCCCAGAAAGAAAGCCATGGAGTCATTAGCAAGAAGCAGAGAAGTCATGTTGTGGTCATCACCAGAGAGGTTCCCTATCTCACGGTGGCTGATTTTGTGCAAGACTCTCTGGTTCAGCATGGGAAACGCCCTGATTTGTATGAGAGGCAAGTGTGTTTGCTGCTCCTACAACTGTGCTCTGGCCTTCAGCACCTTAAACCCTACCACGTCACCCACTGCGATCTACGTCTGGAGAACCTGCTGCTTGTCCACTACCAGCTCGGGGGATCCACTCAGGGCCTTGGGCCTGCAGAACCCAATCCCACCTCACCTTGTCTCATGAGGCTTATAGTGAGCAACTTCTCTCAGGCCAAGCAGAAGAGCCACCTGGTGGACCCCGAGATCCTCCGGGACCAGTCCCGCCTTGCCCCAGAGATCATAACAGCCACCCAGTACAGAAAATGTGATGAGTTCCAGACAGGCATCCTCATCTATGAAATGCTACACCTGCCCAACCCCTTTGATGAGAACCCAGAGCTGAAGGAGAAGGAGTACACTCGAGGAGATCTGCCTCAAATCCCACTTCGCTCCCCCTATTCCTGGGGCCTTCAGCAGCTGGCTAGCTGCCTCCTGAACCCCAACCCTTCTGAGCGGATTCTCATTTCAGATGCCAAAGGTGTCCTCCAGTGTCTGCTCTGGGGCCCCCGAGAAGATCTCTTCCATACTTTCACCACTACCCCTAGCCCAGTGCAGAAGAATGCCCTGCTCCAAAACTGGCTAGACATCAAGCGAACATTGCTGATGATCAAGTTTGCTGAAAAGTCCCTAGACAGGGAGGGTGGGGTCAGCCTTGAGGATTGGCTTTGTGCTCAATATTTGGCTTTTACAACTCCAGATTCCCTCAGTTGTATTGTGAAAATCCTGCAACACCGTTAATGTATCCTGGTTGCTACTTTTAGTTCATCTTCACCTTCTTCAAGTCACCCATGCACTTCCCCATTGTAGTACTCACACAGAATTCAAGGAAAGAAGAGAGACAAACTGTTCATCCTTGTCCACAAACAAATGAGTCTACTCAGAAAGGTTATCCACAACTCCAAATCAAGTGAAAAGCTTAGTCTTAACTTCACAGAAATTCAGTTGCACAAACATTCAGTTACTTTCCACTGGAACACCTTTCACCCTACTTGTCCTGCAAATGAAGGGAAAAAATGAAGATGAACATTTTTGAAGGGACAGCTCCTTTGGTATGAACTCAGTTATGTCCACTTGCTCTATAATTCTGAATTTCACCTGTCTTTTTAACATCGAGTATTTATTTTTACTAGCAATAGATAAATTTAACCAATTCTTACTGTCATTTACTAAGCTCTCAAGAATAGCAGACTTTCTTCCTCTGTTACCAGGTAGAACTGCCATCCTTTGTATCCACCCAGTTTTGGTTCCAGGGGTAATAGAAAGACAGCAAGAAATCCCATTCCTTGGGTCATGGACCTTTTTTCATTTCTATTATTAGTAATTGGGTTCACTGCATGGAGGATGGCCCTAACAATCTCCCCTCTGCTGCTACTGCCTGATTCTCCTTCACCTCTACTTTGTCCCCACTTGCCAATGAAGTTTGGGTTTATTGACCACTTGTGGCCTGTTACAGAGCCTGACCCATGGTGGTGTCACCCATGCCTCAGCAGGGTGGAGTGCAGTTTATATCTTATAAACAGCTGACAATACAGAAGGAGATGATTTTTCTGTATGTGCCATTCTCTAGGGACCATCAGGGAACAGTTTAAAGTACTGTTATATGATTACTGTCAGAGTTGGCTGCCAGGGCTGGTAGTGCCTAGAACATAGCTTTTTCCTTCAATCCATCATTGGCCAGCTTACTTCTATCAGTAGCCAGTATTAACTAGCCTACCAAATGCTGTAGACAGCTGCCCTGAAAGAAACAGCTGTCAGTCCACCTCTAAGATCTCCTTAGAGGGCATGTTGAAGATAGTTATTATAATGGCCAGAGGCAAGACAAGGGGAAATGCCCATGGATAAGACTGCTGACCTCCATCTCAGAATATTGACCTTTTCTGGAGAGACTGCCTCCCAGATGCCCTGGCACATTGCTCCTTATGACTCTGAAATGGCTCTGGAAGACAGCTCACAGGGAATTTTTATTGCTGAGGTGGGTAGCTGAAAGCTGTTCATTGTATGTGGGGTCTGTGCTCCTTGCCTATGGATATATGTGCAATTTTTGTATGTATTTTTTAGCTGTGGATTGCAGTGTTTATTTGCAACTTCACCTGAAACAAAATCTATAGAAATCCTCCCCTTCTTCCCTTAGCACATATTTGCGCTAAGAGACAAATGTTCCTTCCATGGGGGTATGTGAGAGTGTGTGTGCTTGTTTTATTCAAAACTGTGAGTATCTGCTTATTTCAGTCTTGCAGTCCCAGAAGTCTCTTAGACAGTGTAAGTGTCCATACACGTGTGTGCCTGTGTGTGCACATGCATGCTAGAAGTAGAGAGAGGCCAGGCCTCTGGAGAGCAACCTGTGTGTACCCTCATCTACTAGTGAAGGGTTTCTTAAAACAAGGACTGGCTGTGCAGTATTATTTAGGTAGCACATTAGTGGCCTTTTGAAATTTCTTAGTTTGTAATATTTTTAACAGCCTTTCATGTGATTCATCTATATCAAAGAGGATCAAGAACAGAAAAGAATATATTTTATTGTGCTTTTTTTTAGAATGGGACATGTGAAGCTCCATTTGGAGGCTACTCCTGTCCTCCTGGCCAGCAGTACAGGACTCCCAAAGGAGAGAGCTGGGTGGCGTGCAAAGAGTATTGCCTCCTCTAGCCAGAGTGCAGGGCTCTGCCCCTAGGAGTGGCCACAGAGTGGGCGTGCCGCTGCAGGCCAGCAGTACACGCTCTCAGTATCCTGTGACATGGCTGTGCCTTGCCTAACAGACTGGGGTTTGGTTCACCTTAACACAGCCCATGTGCACATAACTCCTTGCTAACTATACACTGAAGTACCAGTACACAAACCACTGACCATGTCAACCAGCACATTCCCTTACTAGCCTCCCTACCCTCCACCCCCATTCCCTGATGCTTTGCATATTGAGACACTTTTTCACTGTCACTCTTGTGCCTTGCCCATGTACATTTGAATGTTGGCTATTTAATAAGGTTTCATATTTAACTGAGAAAGTTTCCTGGTTCCTCTGTTCTGTAGGTATTCTTTTTTTTTTTCTGTTTTGACTTGGATCCAGTCTTCCACATTAACTCTATAATACTAGAAGCATGTACGCCTTCTACCACCATTATATTATAGCACTGGTAAACCAAGCACCCCTTTATATCAGATAAGTTTAGTACTGTTTTTATATTCAAATTTGGTAAGGGCAAAAGATAAATGCCAACTATTGTAGAAGGGCCTCAGAGACAGGGGGCTGCATTAATTTTTCTCTGAGTGATGGCTAAAGAATGTGAGGGAGAAGGGAAGGTGGTATTACAGGTTAGAGCCAAATAGACTAAGTAACTTATGTCTGGGCAAGAAGTAATCAACATTTGGTCCTCAGAATCTTTCCAAAATAATGAAATTTTGAAATTTAGTTGATCTAATATTATTGCAAAAATATCTATTTTTGCATTTCTATTTTAATTGTAATAGGAACTTTGAATTCATCAACTGAAAAGAAACCCTATCCTCAGACACAGACAGACAGGCATGCATGTATATATATGAGTTTTAGGCTGTGACTAGGATAGCACTTTAAGTTTTCTCAAGTAACTTCAAGTACTGTCTTTAATATTGATTGGAAATTTTATTCTTTTTTATTAAAGTCTATACTATAGTTTCTTCCATTTATTTTGAGAGCTCAAACAAGCCACTACTGAAACTTTTCCTTAAACAACATGAGCAAGAACAATCTCTCTGACACATCTGGATGCTGGAGAAACAGGACAATGGCTGGAATAGCCAAGACCAAGACTGAATGTATGTATAGCAGAGTGCCTTGGTAGAATGATAACCTAGTCTTGGAAGGAGGAGAATCAGATGTTCCACAAAGAGGACTAGGACTACCAGAGATCTCTTATGCGAGCCTGAGAAGAGCCCCTTTGGTATATGCACAGTAATGCAATGTCCAGACACTAGTTCATGAAGATAACAGCAGGATAGGAAAAAATTGTAATCTGTGGAATCAACAATAAAAGATTCATGAATGAAGTCTGCCAACCCCTAGGCAATGTTAGAATTGGAAACCAGGAGTAGGGCCATGGGTTTCAAGTTTTTCCCTCTAAAGATGAATTGGGTGAGGTGTAGAGGGGGGCACAAATGCTCACACTACTGATGTTGGGGGCCTAAAGATAAAATAGATTTGTTAGGATTTTCTTGTTGTTAAATGTCACCCACGGATATGTTTCCATTGATATTTTTAGAGCAGAAGGGATGTGGGGTGGGAAAGAAAGAAATATTTATGTGAGAGAGACACATCAATTGTTTGCCCCTCCACATGCCCTGACCAGGGCTGGGGATCAAACCTGCAACCCAGGTATGTGCCCTTGACCAGGAATCAAACTCGTGACCCTTTGATGTGAGGGCTAACACTAATCACTGAGCAACACTGGACCAGGGCGATTTAAGAGTCTGGGTAGCTTTTTATTGTCAGATTAAGTGGAGGTTAGTTTTGCCTCCAAACTCAAAATAAATTTGTGAACATGAAAAACTCTAAGCCAGGAGATTTAAACCTATAGAAATATTCATGGAGTTTCTGGGAGTAAATCTACCTAAAATTATAGTTCAAAGGTTTTAGTGTTACAAAATTTCAATGAAAGATCTTTGAGGCCTACTAAGTAATAGAGCTTAGGAGGATTGCACTCAGGTTCCCAACTTTGTATTAAGAATACTTTGGTGCTGGGAAGTAACCTGACTTGGTTTGGCTAGTAACCTGCAACTAGGATTTCCCCCTAGATTTTATGAGCAATGATCTGAAGAAATACAGACTTGTGCCAGAAGGTGAGATGGACTTATGTTACTACACTACATTTCAAATGATTCTATATGTATAAATAAAGTTTGACTATACTTGGAGAGGGGAGAGAGGAACTTGACTCCATAAGCCAACTCTGACGTATTTTTATTTTCCCTAGTTGATAAGGATTGAAATTTCTAATCTAGCCCAATGAGTGAACAGGATGGCTGCCCACGAAACCGGGTTATTAGATTTACCTCATTGAAGCTCATATTCTCAAAGACCCAAAGTGCTGTGATGAGACAAATTCAAGTGCTGCTTTTGCTGAAGTGTGCACTGAAGTCCAGCTGTCCATACTTAATGGCAATGTGAAAAGCGGAGATTCCATAAATGATGCCATAAGGGAAGCAGAAGAGCTGCAGTGCAAGAGCATAGATACAAATTGTACCAAAGAAAGCAAGCCTTTTGTCTTGATGCGTCTAAAGTGATGTTGTGACAGATGCCATGGGAGGAGAATTTACATATATTCCATGTCAAGGTATTTGGTCAATAAAATAATTCAGTCTCAGAAAAAGTATTCTTTTTTTTTTTTTTTTTTTTTTTTTTTATAAACCCATTTTGTGTATTGGCGTGAGGGAGGGAGAAGAAGATGATGATAAGAGCCTTGGGCAGATTATAACATTCCTTGTCATGACTGACTATTGCATGAACTTCAGCTTGGAAACATCCTTCATTCCGGGTGATACTGAGGGCTGAGCATTTTAAAAAAAAGATGTGATAGTTTCAATAGGTTTGTTTAGAGAATTCTTGGGAAATTTTTAACATAATAGTTTTTATAAACTTTTCTACAGAGGTATTTACCACTCATCATCAGTATTGTTTAGTATTTTAAGTGCCCAGAATGTACAAGGTGCTATATATACAGCTGCTAAACACACCCTCCCTGCAGCTGTTTGAAATTAGAGAAGGTTTTTGCATCAGCCACTACTAGAAGCTTTCCCCACCTTGGTGGGCTGCAGGAGCCTGCATTCCGGACATCCATTACATGGCTGCCACTCATCCCCATGTTACTTTAAGTCAAGAAAGTTTCAGGGAACCAAAAGAGGTTGGAAATTTTTTAACCTATCAGAAGTACAGAGTCATATATTTTGCTACAAATATTATTGTATTGTGAACAGTTCACTTTGCTCTTACAGTGTGTGGAAAGTGTGTGTGTGTGTCCATACCCATGATAACTCCAATGTTGAGCCAGCCCTAGTCTTCAGGGTAGCATTTTTGAAAGATATACCACACTGCTTCAGAAAACTTACTCCAAATACTACTTGTTCATCCCTTCCCTTACCAGGTTTAAAGGGTGTTGTGTGTAGTAGACACACTGGGTTGGGATTTCTGTTGATATACAAGGCATTTGTGTGTGAGCTCAGGGCAGAAGCAAGATGTCACCTTTCTTAGTGATTTGAATCATGACATTCCTCATTCATGGCTCTGCCCACACTTGATATTTGAAGATGTTTCTATTGCTCTTTCCTTAAGCCTCACTTTTCTACTTACATATTTTTGAGTTGTATAAATCTGATGAAAGGTCCCCTCTGTCACCAGGTGGTGCTGCCCTTTGATTTGCTGTGGTACTTCTCTGTGTTCTCTGTGGCATGTTACTGTGTTAATAAATTCATTTTAAAATACACTGAAAACCAGAGTAGCACTTGTCCTTTCAGTGCTTCTCACATACTGACATCTTGGGAAGGGTTTGGTTGCAGACATGGTTATGTCTTAACCCCTAGGACACATGCCCTCTTGGATTCACATCAACTGCTAACCTGTACCATATTTTCTGTTCATTCTCTCCCTTATCTGAGAAAAAGTGAAAGCCTGCTTTCCCCAGAGCTCAGAAGGCTGCAGGTTTGCAATGTGAGATTGCTCTCTGGTGGCCAGTCATGGTACAGCCTTCCTGGATTTGTATTGTGGAGGCTTGGTTAGCTGGCTCTGACTGACCCCAGTAGAAATCTCCAAGCTGTGCAGACAGTATGAGCATGGGCAGGGCCTTGTAGAGCGTCATCTGCTACAGAAATCACATAAATTCACATGCCTCTGTCTGTTCCTTAAGGTATACGGTCACACACAGAGTCCTCACAAAGGCAGACAAGCTAAATGTTTTCATTGATTTTTTTTTTTTTTTTAAAGAGAGGAAGGGGGAGAGAGAGAGAGAGAGAGAAAGAAACATCAGTGCAAGAGAAAAACATCAATTGGTTGCCTCCTGTACGCACCCCAGACAGGAACTAGCAATCTGGGCATGTGCCCTGACCAGGAATTGAACCAACGACCTGTTGGTGCATGGTACCATGTTCAACCAACTGAACCACACCAATCAACAAGCTAATCAATGCAGACACTTCTGTAGCAGAGAGGAGACCACCTGGCTTATGCAGGAAGAGTCAGCAGTTGGCAGTGGTACAACAGCTGCCACATTAAGAGTAGCATGGATGAAAGTGCAAACATTTAAACTCTAAATTTAGACCAGATTTTAGAGCTCTAAGCCCCTTATAGTGGACACTATCTCCAGCTTAGCATTTCTGCTCCTTTCCACTAGCACGCACTCTGGACTTTGAAGACATGCTATTTAAGACACATTCCAGAAAAGTGGTTGCCAGACTCAAGTTCTGTATTGCTAAGGAAGCAAAACCCATTTTAGTGTGGGCCTCAAAGTTTTCTCTGTGTTGCCTGGGCCTGGGAGGAAAGGTTAGCAACAGAACCCAAGAGGTAGCCCCCAGGCACAAAGTCTCCACCTGTTGAGGTTCTCAGGCTGCTCATTGGAGAGGAGCCTCAGAACCAGCCCTTCCTAGTTGTGAACATAGCATACTAGCTTCTGGGGAAAAGGAACCAAAGAGAAGCAGGCAGTCATGGCAGTCACAAGTACTAGGCTTGGGTTGCTGCCTAATGCTCTGTTGGCACAGGTGGCCAACCTGGGGCCCTGAAAGGATACGGGCATGCATGAGCAGATCAGTTCAGAATTGCCCTAGTCGGACTCCAGAGAGTCTCTGGAGTCTTCCAATGGGGTCTTTATCCTTTGGTATAACTAAAGCCTGGATAGAAATTATCCTATTTACCATCCATCACTTCACCCAGCATGAGATCCATTCCTGGAATTTCCATCAGTGGGTTGTCAACAAGACTACCCTTGTCTTCAATTCTGGGTGGTCCAGAGGTGATGGGCCACTGGCATTTGAAAAAGGCCTTTGGCTTCCACGTGCCTGGAGACTGACTGCTTTCAACCCAGGCCATGGAAAAGGTGGATCTTTCCTACCTGGAATGAACTGGCAAGAGGAGCCTTCTGCAAGCCTGGGGCTGTGCGTGTGTACTGTCTACTCCAGGAGCTCTTTGCCTGCTCTCCAAAGCCCAGAAAATACTGCTTCTTTTTAAGTGAGCCTGTGTTCTGTGAGGGAAGGGACTTCATTAGTACCTAAGGAGCCTAAGAACTGCAGTTGGTGGGTCACAAGAGGGGCTCAAGGGAATTACAGCTGCAACTTAAAATTTGGATTTCACACTGGGTCAAGGGAGGAGGGAGTCAGTTGCCAAGATCCAGTTCTCTCAAAGTTGCAAACCTGTGGCTGGAAACAGGATGTCTGGGCACTGGGGATGCCTGACTTCCTGGAGATCCCAGATAACTCACCCATGTTCTAGAAGGTGCATGGAAACAACCAGAAGATAGAGCAGTGCTGGTTACCAGTCTCAGTTTAAGAATCAGAGCTTAAAAAGCAAGAGCAAGGCTGGGAGGTGCTGGACTCGGGAAATCTGTAACGGGGTGGGGAGCTACCAGGAGCCCCAGGAGTAGAGGGACTCTGCATCTCTGGCGAAGAGACAGAGCCCTCTGCTCTCTGTGGGTTTACCCATCATTCACCAGCCCACCCTTGAGCTTAAGTCCTGGAACCAGGGACTGGAGACAGTTAAAACCTCTAAGCCAATGGTTGGCCCATCTTCCACTTCCTCTCACCCCAAATGCCTTTTCTCCCTGCACCACAGTCTACCAGAGACCCAAGGGCATGTCTGAAACCACCCCAACCCTGCTGCCACAGCCTTTCCAGCCCCAGGCTCCCTGGGCCTGCTGATGTTGCCTAATGCTGGACACAGAACCTACCCTCAAAGTGTCACTGGCTCTGCAGGCCTCCCTCCAGCACCTGGGGCTTGGAGTTGCTCAGCTTTCCCCTAAGACATTTTTTTCTCCTCAGCCTCCTACCCCTGGGTCTGCTATAGAAGTCAGGGCAGCTGGCCTTTCCCAAGCACCTGTGTGCAGCTGCCCTGAGCACTGAACTAGGGAGCCCCCAGGCCACAGCCCAGTGAGTGCTAACATTAACAATGGTTAATGCACATTTCCCCCAGTCTCACTTAGCCCTCACTACCAACCCACAAGATAGTTCCATTCTGACCATTTTTCACTCAAATAATTAGTGCCAGAGTTTGAACCCTGTGTGACTTATCCGTTACTCTTTCCTCCACTCCATTCTGCCTCTTATGTGTGGCCAGGACACTGGGAGTGAGTACTATAGGAGCTCAGGCGAGCACAGGGAAGAGCTACCTAGGATGGTTGTAGAGCCTTGAAGGAGAGGAGGCCTTTTCTGCTATGTGCTTTCATTCTTAAGTACCATGTGCTGGGAACTCAGTGTTGGGCAAAGCCAGCAGAAGCCTTGCTCCAACTCTGATAGGCACAGAGGACACAGGGTGTCAGCTGGAAGAGGAGCAAGGGACAGAGGCTTGTGCCTACTGCTGCATGCCTTGGGAATGGTTTAACGAATGAGGTCAGAGTCTGGAATTAATTTTCTTCCCACCGGCTGGGCCAAACAAATATATATCCTGCAGACAAAGGCAAAGATCTTTGGAAGTCCACCCCAGTCCCAAGGATGCTACACATGCTAAAGCCTTCACAGGTCAGTCAGAGCCAGGCAGGCCACCAGTGTAGCCTAGCCACACCCACAGTCTGCCTCCAGGAAGTCAGAAACCAGGTTTGAAGGGAACTTGAGCAGATTTCTTAACCTCTGTGAACTCCACTCTTTTGTAGACTGGGGCCTTGTCTGCCATCTTCTGAGCAAGTAGCTAGGAGAATGAATCAATGAGGTAACATTTGTGCAAATGTTTTAGACTGCATTGTTAAAAAGCAGAACACACCTGAGACATTCAGAAAGAAGAAAAACATTTGAAGATTTAGATAAAATGTCATAGCCTGAGAAGAGGGGCCTCTGAAGGAAATTGTCTTGAAGGGATGGTGTTTGAGGGGCAAGGTGCTGCTGGCCCCACCTCCAGCATTTGTACCCTTGATTTTGCTCACTCTCTAGCCCTCCAACCAACTTCAGGCCAATTCATTCTGCTTTGCAAAGTGGGCAAGAGTCCCAGCCTGAGCACTTGGATGGAGATTCCGTTCAGAATGCCTGTGTCCTGGTGGGGCAGGCTCATCAGGGGTCTGTCTGAATGAGCCATCAAGAGACATACTGGAGGGCAAAGTCACCAGGCCCCAGGAAAGGGGCAATGGTGAATGCATTGGATAACAGGGTAAAGCACTCCAAAGCCAGCCCAG